GCCTTAACAGCAGCCGCAGTGCAGCAGCAGCAGCAACAGCAGCAGCAGCAGCAGCAGCAGCGGTGGTAACGACAACAGCAGGAGAAGAAGGAGGGATAGGCGGTGCAGGTAGAAAGTCTTTATTTGTTTTGCTGCTAAAGAAATAAACAAATTAACTTAATGCAACAACTGCAGCAGCAAACCTCAAAGACAACACAGGCTGCCACTGCAGCAGCAGCAGCAGCTGCTGCTGCTGCTGCTGGTGCATGTCTGCAGCAGCGGAATTTTATGGTTGGCAGCAGCAGCAGCAGCAACAACAGCAGCAGCAGCAACACCATGCATTTTAGTTGTGTTGTTTGCTGCAGTGTGTCTCTGCAGCTTTTCTTTTGCTGCTGTATTATACACACAAACCTTCGGAGCCCTCAGCTCTTATAAAGAGTCTCGCTGCAGCAGCAGCAGCAGCAGCAACACCAGCAACAACAGCAGGAACAGCAGCAACAACAGCAGGAACAACAACAACAACAGTTGCATCAACAGCAACAGAAGCAGCAACAGCAACAGCAATAGCAATAGCAATAGCAATAGCATTAGCAACTGCAGCAGCAACAGCAACAGCTGTAGCAACAGCTGTAGCAACAGCAGCAGAGCAACACACGCAGCAGCAACAGAGGCAGCAACAGCAGCAGCAGCAGCCACCACTACTGTGGAATTGCCTTCCAGGGCGAGGGAACAGCAGCAGCAGCAGCAGGGACAGCGGGAGCTGCAACAGCAGCAGCAGCAGCAGCAACAGCGGGAGCTGCAGCAGCAGCAGCAGCAGCAGCAGCAACAGCAGCAGGAGGCGGAAGGATGGCGCTGTGTTTGCTGCACATCCTTGAGTTTGTGCTGCTGCTGTTAAATGCTGCTGCAATACTAAACGCAGAGCGGTTCCTTCGTAAGTTGCGGCTGCACTCAGTCTCTGCTGCTGCTGCTGCTTCTGCTGCTGCATCTCCTGGGGGAGCAGCAGCAGCAGAAGGCGGCTGGCGCATGCAAATAGCGCTGCTGCTGTTTTCTATTCGTACATACCTCAGGGTTCCTCTTGTTGCTGCTAATCTTGTTGTTATTGTAATTGAGCTGCTCTTCGGATAATCTGCTGCTGCTGCTGCTGCTGTTGCTGTTGCGGCTGCTGCTGCTGCTGCTGCTGCTGAATTCGGCGCCTGCTGCAGCAGGGGCTGTTACTGGCAAGAGCCAGGAACCGTAGAACGGCAGCAGCAGCAGCAGCAGCAGCAGCAGCAAGCAGCAGCAGCAGCAAGCAGCAGCAGCAGTAGCAGTAGCAGTAGCAAGGGGCTCAATGTTTGCTGTTTTGTGATGCAGACAGTTGACGGTGCTGCAGTGCTAGCGGAGCTGCAGCAGCTGAAACAGCAGCTGCAGGTGCAGCAGCAGCCGCTCGCTGCTGCTGCTCTACACTCTGCTTATACAACCTTCATCAGCAGCAGCAGCGACAGCGTGCAGCAACGAGATGAACGCTGCGGCTCGCTGCTTCTGCTGCTGCTGCTGTCGAGGGGACAGTTGCTGGGAGGTGAAAATAAACCCGAGAGATTGCTGCTGCAGCACCGCAGCCAGGTGTGCTTTGCTGCTGTTGCTGCTGCTGCTGTTGCTGCTGCTGCTGCAGTCGCGTGGGCGGAGTTGAGTGTGAATCGGGGCTCCATTTTGAGGTTTAGGGTTTAGGGTTTAGGGTTTAGGGTTTGCGACTCATTCAGGCTTTGCAAAGGGCTGCTGCAGCAGAAGAGCGGAGGCGACTAGAAGCAGCAGCAAGAGAAGATTTGCTGCAGCTGATGCAGCAGCAAGATGAGCTGTACAGGGAGTCCCTCCGTAGCTGCAGCAGCAGCAACAGCAGCAGCAGGAGCAGCAGCAACAGCAGCCGCAGCAGCAACAGCAGTCTCGCTGAAGAACCGTCAGTGCAGCAGCAAACCGATGGCTTGCTGCTGCTGTCTGG